GAGAGATTTAGTTTTAAACTTTCCCTACTCTGTCAAAAATCAAAAGTTGGCAAGAATTAGACTTTAAAGTGAACCTATCATTATTTAAGATACCTCCTGCTACTCCGCTCACTATTCTCTCTAAAAGTTATAAGAAGATAGACAAAATATCCAGAAAGAGTTACTGTACTTTGTAGACATTGCAAAGGGATTAGAGCATATGACCAATGTTCAAGAGGAGCATCAGAGTTCAGAATGGCTAATTCTCCTCTGCAGAAAAGATCAAGTAAGCAGATGCCTATATATCTGGTCAGGTGACCACCCACTGTGGTTTAAAGCTAGCCATACCACCCAGCTGAACAAAAGTTGATTTCAAAGTCGAAAATTGGGAGCCAGACAGGGACTGCATCCTATCAGTTGCAGTCACTCTTTGGCTATTCAGGCAGCAGTAGATGCCAATGGCTACCTTAATACAATAGCAGGCAGTGCACAGTGTAGGCACCTCCATTTATGCTGTATAGCATGGTTAGGGGAATAGAGTGATTTCTCTTTTCGAATTAAAGAAATCTACACGTGTAAGAATAGCCTAAGTATTTCAAGACTTCTGCTTCTTAAGATGTACAGAGTAAAGTTGAGGATAGGAAGTCTTGGATGATATACCTCATCATCTAATGTAATGATAGGTGTCCCTTATGCAATACCCTCTGTAAACTATATGCAAATAAGCCTCTCTGAAAGAAGCATAACCATTTGGCAAGCCTGAATGGAATCCCCCACTCACTTGAGGTTTCATTCATATCTGGCTCTAACTTCAATCCAAATTCTTTAGAGTTGTGAATATGGTGTACTGTGTTGCCAACTAAGGTTGAAAGAAAAGTAGACAGTAGGGATACACAGATACTTTTCCAGCTCCAAGACTAGACTAGAGAAAAACTCAACAGTTAGGAGGCAGCTGTCATTTTTAAGGAGCATTGGCTAAAGGGCTCCTGAGATTTTTGCATCCCTGTTTTAATGTATGGTTTGTTTATATATATCTCTATATATAGATATATAGATATAGATAGATAGATAGATAGATAGATAGATAGATAGATAGATAGATAGATAGATAGATAGATGTTAGGGATGAACGGATACCATTTTTTCCAGACCAAGTACAAGTACCAATATCTGCAACTGCTGCGACCTTGGTAGTTCTCTTGAAAATGTCAAGTATCGACACAGGTATCTGAACTTGTATATGTGCCTCCCAAGTAGACAGATTCGTAGCAATGTTATATGTGACACAGTTGATGCTGCTGACAATGTGTCTTAGTGAGGCAACCTCCTTATGGATGATGATACAAGATCTAATCAAAGGGTTTAACCTTTTTCTATCTGTTGTAGACAGTCTATGAAATGTTAGGAAGGGCTGTGAGGGGTGAGGTGTCTGAGGTGGCTTGTCCATGAGTGTGAGGTGTCTGAAAACATAGTGGAATTTGATGGAGTACAAATACACATTCTGCCTGATCGTGCCAGCCACACTTTGTACAAGAGGCATTTTCTTCGGCCCCTCCTGGATAAGCTTTGTAGTGTGGGAGCCATCTATAGATGGGTTATCTGTTTCATGTACAAATTCGGTAGAACAACGATAACTTCTTCCTGCATACCCCGCAGCAGCTCCTTGATCTATTTACATTCCTGGATACGTCTTCAGTGGAGGTCCCTGACTGAGTGATCCCCCCGATGTTGATATAGAGTGCCCCAGCTGGGGCTTTACCTCAACAGAGGCGCCGGCCACAGTCGCAACCTCCTAGACAAAGTCAGCTTCCAACGCATGCCTCTCATTAGGCTTGAGGGGATACACAATGTGTACAGCCATGTCTCACCTGGATCACCTTCTCACTTTGTGTACCATCCCTGCCTATGATCCTTCTTCTGGAGTAGCCAAAACCTCTTCTTGCCAGATGTTTTCTGCCTGCTATGGAGGATTTGGCTGGGGCTCGTGTTTGTTTTTCTACAGTCTTTTTCTTCCCCTGAGGACTCAGTTTCATCCATTTCTCTCCGGTCTCTGCAGAGGTCCTCACTGACTCCAGTTCCCCTCCCATCTGCCCTCTCACCTTCGCTGCCCAGAAAGATATGTCCTGCCATCTACGACTACCTTTTGCTCCTCCTGGATCTGATGGGCTGGATCATTGCTGGCTTGTGGACAGGCTCCCTGCTCCTGTGTCCTTTACTCTACTACTAGTGGGTCTTGACTGAATGCCGTGTTAGTGAATGGGATCTGGGGCCTTGGGGGTCGTGACGTTTCTAGAGCAGCCATCCCTTTCTCTGGCAATCTATCTCTTATCCACATGATGTTCTGGCACAACCGAAGATTAAACATTGACTGTCACTTGGGAGATGTTGAATGCTCCTACTGTTTCCATTTCTCTAGGGATGGGGATCTGTGGGCTGAAGGCATGTGACCCTGTGTTTTATGTTCTCAGGGCATAGCTCCCGAGCCATCTCCCCACTGTTCTGGTTGGGGTTAGCATTCGGTATTGATGTTTCACACTGTTTTGAACTGACGTGATGTTTTACTACTTATTCGCTTGGTGTAATGGTTGGTTATTTTGATGTACAGTTTGATTTGCACTGTTGAATATGTTACCTGTTTACTCTATATTCTGGCTTGAGACACACTTCCATTCCCATACTCCTCCTTTTCTGATGCATTTCCCACCTGCCTTGCTTCTCTCCCTTTGTCTACGATGTGAGGGGTGGAGAAGCGATTGTATTGGTACTATACTTTTCCTGCTGCACTCCTTGAAGTAGCTTCTTTCTGTCTCTTCTATTTATTCTGTCCTCCATGCTCCACTTTTTTGCTTTCTCTTGCCTTACTCTGCTATCCCTGTTCTCTTTCTGTCTAGTACTGTCTCTCTGTTGCTTGGTCCAAGGGGGGGGGGGGTCCTCATCCCTTTTGTATACTAGTTTTAGTGTATTGCTTGCTCGTTTACTTTCTAACTAAGCCTACACTTGTCAGGATGCCACCAATCCGTATTTCCTCTTGGAACGTTAAGGACCTTAACCTTCCTCAAAAAAAGTCACGTCTGCTGGCTGATCTCTGGCAGGCCCCTACTGAGGTGGCATTCTTACAAGAGACTAATTTCTGCTGTAGGCATTTTCAAAATTGTCAAACCATCATTACCCCTTGAGTTATCATAGTGCTTCGAGTGAGGATAAATCCAGAGGAACTAATATCTTGATCTCGCGGAGGCTTCCCTGGCCCTTTGTGGACCTCTACACTGATACTGAGGGATGATTGATTTTTTGAAAGGTGAATTACATGGCCATTTAGTTATGCCTGCAAATATCTACACACCCAACACGGGTCAGATTGATTTCTTGGAAGACTGTTTATCCAAGCTGGCGGGTTTTGCTGATGGGTTCCTCCTATTGGGGGGGGGTGTTAATTTGGTCCTTTAACCGCAACTATATTCCTCCAAGGGGACTTCATATCTGTCCCATACCCAATGGCGGCAGATCAAATGTGTATTTTTACCACTGCAACTCACGGATGTTTAGAGCCTTTTGTTCCTTCAGGGGAGCAACTACACGTATTACCTGTCCATCAATCCTATTCCAGAATTGATTTATTTCTGCTCCTATAGGCGGCACTCCCCAGAGTGACTGATATCTCTATCGGTATATACAGCGCTTTCAAATCATGCGCCAATTCATCTCTCATTGATGCTAGGTGAGCGAGTCCCCAGATCTGCGCTATGGAGACTAAATTACTCCCTCTTGCAGGACAGTGTCATTCACTCTAAGTCTCCCATGAACTTACCCAATTCTTCTCAATGAATGCTATTCCGGGCCAGAACCTGCTGACCCTGTGGGAGTCCCATAAATGTTATGTCAGGGGGATACTTGTCACATGTCGGATTTAGTTTCATTTTGAACGAAATTCGGACGGATCAGAGTTTTGTTAAACGGACATTCGAATACGCTTGCATTCAGACACCTTCAAATTCGGACATTTGGATGCATCCGAAAGTCTGAATTTAACGAACCTCGTATGAGCAGCCATTTGGAACAAAAATAAATTTACATGTCTACTTTAAACCTTATGCTTACATTTCTAAGGTCCACTTGCAATATGGGCAGAAAATCCTAACAATAAGGGTTGTAATATCAATTATGAGACTTAACAAAAAAAGAATTTTGGGAGACAAAGTTTATTTTTCATTTAATTTAAGTAATGAATCTACAATTGCACTAGGTAGAAATCAAAGAAAAGCTGAATATTTGCATGTAGACCTGTGTAATCTGCGTAGAATAATGACATTTATGGATTTAGCCAAGCTTGATTCATGAATTATATGATTCTCTGCAGTTTTGATTTATATTCAGACATAAAATTCACAGCCCATCTGATAGGGAGAACTGTTCTGGGGAAACTGTTGTGGTAAGGGAAGCCCAAACCTGGAATTAACATTGACTTCTTGTTCTGAAGTTGGAACTCTAGCCCTAAATTCACTTAAAATGCATGTAATCATTGTAAAGCCCATCCCCTCCCCGACCTCTTTATACTCAGCTTACTAGTATACCCCTGCCACAATTCCCAGTGTCAGCTTGTGTTGGATACTAGGGGGAACTGTGTCGTCACTCTCCTGATGACAATGCTTGGGGCTAACGATTGGCTGCTAGACCCAGGCACTTTAAAATGGGAGGAGGTCACATGCACTCCCATACCTGGGAACACTAGATAGCTCAGGCAGCAGAAGAAGCAGCAGGGGAACACTGGTAAAGTGAATATTAGTGGTTTGGGGTCAGCCCCTATACGCACACATTGTCACTTTGCCCTGACTCTACGAAGCAGCAGTTTCTCTTTCAACAAAATTGTTTACAAAAGCATTGCAGAAGGAGTATCTGTTTTGACAGTAGCCACTTAATTACTTAGTCCTGCGTAGAAATAGAATATGTTTTGCTTAAAACTATCAATTTATAGAAAAAAATGTAATTTATATAAACACTGTGGAGTGCTTTAAGTTTAGTATTTAGTTTCCTCTTCTTCTTCTTTGTTCAGCATTAATTCTCATTCCTTTAATAATCAGAACAGCTCCAGCAATGATCCCGACAAATCCAACAAAAAGGCCAAGGCCACAGATCAAAGTCTCCGATGTCTCTGAAGGGAGAGATGGCGCCTCAAGATCTGTAGGAGGAAAGCAATCATATTTATTATATTTAAGTATATGAAAATTCAAGTGACATATTCTATTTTATAAAAACAGTTAGTAAAAACAAGCGTACATTATTTAAAGTGTATATTCACTTTCGCAGCCAAATTGGGTTAACACCTAATTTATATTTGTTACATGTTTCCATTTACATAGCATGAGCTAAAAAAAAAAAGCTTCTTTAAATAGCTTTTTCTTGGGTTAGGGTTTTAAGGGTTAAAACTTATTCAAGCTCCTATTTCTTTGAAATGTTAGGAGGGGCTGTGATGGGTGAGGGGTCTTGTCCCTTCAGAGGTGGCTTGTCCATTGTATGTTAATGAAGCTGAAAACATTTTTGTAAAAGTTATTTTTCAGTATGCTGTGGGAAAAGGAGCACATAATGAACATATGGAGAGGTTTTCCTAAATTTGACTGCAAAAGTGGAAAAACACTTTAAGTCTAGAGAATAAGTGTACTGTGGAAGCTTTAGCTTCAAAGGACTTTAGTTTTACATGTTCTGTACATAGTGTAAATACTGTGACTCGTGCCTTTTCTGTTTTATTGTGTTCAGCCTGGCCTTTAACCTTGCCTGAAGCTGGGATGATTCTTACCTTTATTTAACCTTTGCTGCAGCACTCAGTAAAGTAAACAATAGAAAAGAAAAGAGGGTCAGACACAGACATGCGCTATCTCGACCTACGTGCCCTCTCTGCACAAACAGCCTTCCACCTATAAACATGGCATTATCTCATCATCTCTTATCATTTCTTATCATCTGTTATTGTCTCTTATCTGTTTTGCGATTACCCATGGTTACTGTTGCCTTCCAACAACCATTTTGCCCATATCTCTGATGTGCATGAATGAATACTGACATCTGCTTTGCTAATACTTGTGGTAACTGCTGCCTGCTGATTACTGTTAAACTTTTTCTATATTACCGAGATTGACTTACCTTGTTTAATCAAAGAGTTGATCCTGGTACCACACAGGAAGTTTCTAAGCTTTTTTCTGATACCCACTTAATCACCTGTTCCCTGCACCCCATCCTTTAAGAACTACTCACATCTTCAATCTCTTCCTCTCTACTGGTATCTTCCCCACACCTCCGAAATATTCACCAGTCACCCATATACTTAAAAAGCCACCAGTTTGAACAACCTATGGCCCATCTCCTGTTTACCTTGAAACTTCTAGAACTTCTAGTCTACAACCATCTGAGCTACCATCTCACTGATAACAACTTTCTCCTCCCCTTTGGTCTGGCTTTTCCCCTGAATACTCCACAGAAACCATCCTCATAAAACTTACTAACTGCTAAAATCAATGGCCACCACTCAGTAATCTTAAACCCTTCTGCTACCTTTGATACTTAAAAAAACACCACTCCCTTGGCTTCCAAGACTGCCATTTGCTGGTAATCCTGGACTCTTACCTTTCTTTTCAGCCAAACATCCAATCACGATCCATTTTGCCACCTTACCTTCCCTAACATCTCTTAGGCTAAGTTTACACCATTTTCCGGATCAGTTCTAGGCCAGATCTGGAACATGATGCATTGTGTTTTTGCCGCGATTGGAATTTTTTAATTCATTTTTTTTAGCTTAAAATGGTCTTATGAGTGTGTTCCATGCGCTTCTTAAGGCATTTTTGATGCAGTGCATTCCAGTCCAGACAAAATAGGACAAGCAGTATTTTTCTGGTCTGGAACGGACTCGCTGGTGGAAAAAGAGGCCGTAAATAGCATAGGGATACATTTGGATGCATTTTGGGTCCGGAAACAGTCTTTTCTGGTCTGGAGGTAATCTGGATGTGGTGTGAATGGGCCCTCAAATATGCCCCTTTTTAACCAAAGATACCACAAAGCTACCAATTCCCTCCCCTGTTATCTCTTGCCTCAACTATTTAAACTCCTTCCTCATTGAGCTATCTTTGCATAGACTATCCCCTCTCTATCCTTTTATGAATGCTGATGACAAACCTATCCACCTTACCAAGGGCTCAGATTCCACCTACCCTCTCCACCAATCCTTTCACTGGCTTTCATTCATTGCAAACATTCAAAATACTAACATACAAAACCATCCATAACCCTGCCCCAAGCTATATCACCAACCTTGATTTAAAATATCATCCAAACCATCCTCTTTGCTCATTCCAAGACCTCCTGCTCTCTAGCTCCCTTGTCGCCTTCTTTAATGCCCACCTCCAGGATTTCTGCAGGACCTTTCTCATCCTCTGGAACTCCCTCCCTTAATCTGTCCAGCTAGCTCCTACTCCATCTGCCTTTAGACAATCCCTGAAAACTCATCTCTTCAGGGAAGCCTATCTTACCACCTAAAAACTGTATTTTTTTCTTCCTCCATCAGCTTATCCTTCACAGTTATTTCCTATTTGTACCACTTGCCCCTTCCCTTTTTAGGATAAAAGATCTCACGAGCAGGGGCCTCCTAACTCTTTTATATTAAATTGTATTGCATCTGTTCTGCCTCCCTTTATTATGTAAACTGCTGCACAAACTGTTAGTGGTGCTCTGTAATTCTGTAATAATGACGATAATAATTAGGGATGTCCCGATTCCGATACAAGCATCGGTATCAGGACCGATACAGGGCATTTTGACAATTATTTGTACTTGTCAAAATGCCCCGATACATAGCGCCGATGCTTGCGCTACTTTTTTCTTCTTCTTTACCTTCAGGCTCCTCAGAGGTGCCGCGCGTGTCAGGGTCCTCTGGGCAATCGCCGGCCAGCTAAATTAGGACCCCCACCTGGAGCTGCTCCCACCGGACCAGCGCTGACTCGACGCTGCTCTTCCCCACCGCACAGACTACGATCTAACCTGCGAGGCACATCATGAGGCACCTTCATGGAGCAGTAAGTGAGGGCAAGGGGGGTCCCTATTCAGAACCTATTAATATTAGCAGAGGATAATTGTAAATCTATTGGCTACAGTGTATTAGCAGTGTGTACTCTATATGTACTACATACAGAGTACACACTGTAGCAATAGATTTACAATTATCCCCTGCTAATATGAATGGATTAAATGATCCATAGTACATAATAGTACATAACATGTAGTTGTACTACGGATCATTTAACCCATTCATGTTAGCAGGGGAAAATTGTAAATCAATTGCTGCAGTGTACTCTATATGTAGTACATGTACAGTACACATTCCCAATACACTGCAGCAATACATTTACAATTATTTTCTGCTAATATTAATAGGTTAAATAATACGTAGTACAACTACATGTTATGTACTATAGATTATTTAACCCATTCATGTTAGCCGAGGATAATTGTAAATCTATTAATGCAGTGTACTCTATATGTAGTACATAGTACATAAGCCCTCCTTACCATCTTGTCTTTATTTGTATTGTGATTGCGCAGCGCTTTCCAATTGTAACGATCACGGCTTGCGTTCCACAGGGGGACCGCAGCCGCAATCAGGAAGTAGAATCGCCGATGCGTTCCAGCGTGGAACGCATCGGGGCCGCCCTGCATCACCAGCACCTCCCCTTCCCATTCCATATAAAAGGCAGGAAGCCGGGTCAGTATGGCGTTCTATTATTCTTCTATGAACGCCATCTGACAGCCTGCTCCCTGCTTTTTGGACCGAGAACCCCTGAGCCTGGACCTTCCTATTTTGAACCTGCTAAACAGCAAGTATACCTTCTCTGTGACTGAAACAGAGAGACTACTGCAGCTCGCCAGAGATCTGCAGTATTTATACTGGCTTGCAAGGATTTCCTATTCTTGCAGTGGATTGGACTCTCACTCCCTCTAGGGGTGAAACATATGAACTGCGATCACTATAGTTTTCCTATGAAAGTGTAACCAGTGTATGATAGGAATACTCTGAGAACTTAGAGTGCTGAAAATTCAACTCTGCTGACTTATGATTTATGCTATTTAACCGTTGTACCTTAAATTGCCATTATTTGAACTGTGAATACCCCTTGTTCACCGCGGCACATGATGGTAGGGTTCCAAACTCTCCGCTTATGACTTGAGAGTGACGCCTGGAACCCGACCCTGACGCCGTACCCTCCGCCACAACCATACCTGCTTATAGCCTCCGCAGCTGTGATTCTTAATATTGCCACGGCATTACACCAATATAAGTAAGACATTACAAACTGTTGGTGCTATATAAATCCTGTATAATAATAATAATAATAGTACATGTATGTTACACACGTCCAGTACACTGCAACAATAGATTTACAATTCTCCCCTGCTAATATGAATAGGTTAAAAGATCCGTAGTACATAATAGTACATAATATGTAGTTGTACTACGGATCATTTAACCTACTCATGTTAGCAGGGGAGAATTGTAACTCTATTGCTGTAGACTGCAGTGTACTGGACGTGTGTACTGTATATGTACTATATATGATTTAACCTATTCATTTTAGCAGGGCAGAATTGTGTGCGCCTCCCGCAAGCTGAGCACCAAGACGCGATGCAGCCGACTACGAGAGGCACCGCGTGAGGCAACAGGGATCGGAGTGAAATGTGAGTGAAGGAAGCTGGGACAAGGCTGGCTGTAACTCTATTGCTACAGTGTACTGGAAGTGTGTACTGAATATATAGAACATATATACAGCACACACCTCCACTACATTACAGCAATATATGTAAACAAATAAATCTGCGCTTCTGGAAAAATGATATTTAGTAATAAATTAAATAAATTAAATTAATATAGTAAGAATAAATGTGAATAAATGTGAATAACAGAGGCAGATGCATGATTGATTTGTAGTTTCACGACAGCTGTGTGAAAGCAGATACAAATGTTTTATTGTTCTAAAAAAGTCTTAAATTAAAGTTCTTCATAATCATAAAGATTATTGTGTGCAAAAAAGGGAAGGGGGATGGTCGGACGAGAAGCCTAAATTTCAGGAAGGCCAAATTTGATAAACTACGCAATATAGTGGGTGAAATCAAATGGGAGAACTTATTTCATAAACTAAA